TGAAAAAATCCTAATAAATATTAATAAAACGAGATGACCAGTTGAAATATGTAACATGTATGATTAATTAAAATATAAATTGACGATACTTGGACATTTTACTCTGGAATGTAAATTACACGCACCCATACTGAAAACGCAATTTTTGTATTTGTTATGCTTATTTTTTTTAAAACCTATCCTTGTAAACTTAGGAATGTTGTGTGAACGTTTTGTCTGTTGCTCCAGTTTATTGTAGTCTGAATGTGACTGGTTTTGACAGGGTTGTATGTGTGTGAGATGTCCAATACAATCAGCCAATAGTGTGGTTACATGTCTATCACTTGCCTTCTGTGTGAATGTGACCACAGACTTATTTCCCCATTTACTACATATTTTTTGATGAACCTTTAAAAATTGAAAAGTTAACATACTGATCTCAGCACCTCTCAGTGTGTATGGTTTGCTTTGTTTTTTTTTTTTTTTAACCTGAACTGTTCATATGCTTCATGGTATACGAATATTCACATTAAATTGCAACAAAATGAGTTGACAAAAAGACACTTTGAAATGTTCATCAAGAAATAAAAATACTTTGTTTATCTTTTAGGGTATCTAAAATTGTCCATGTTTGATGATATCAGGTTTATTCTGGCTCTGATATCTTGAACTAAAGCAGCAATAGTAGCCACGCCCACCGGAGCACACGTGACCAATCAGATCACAGCTTTAGTAACAACACAACACCGAACACAAACTGAAGAAAAGCCTGAGCCCTGAAACAAACTATAACTCGGCTACTGGTTTTGATTTTATTGTGAGGATACATTTTCCTCAAATAATACCACCCCGAAAAATAGACATCACTTGAAAAAATGCACTACACAACAGCAAAAAAAAAAAAAGGGTTTTGTCTTTTGCTCCAGGTTACTGTAGTGTGAATGTGACTTTTTAAACAGGATTGTAGGCCTATGTCTGAGATGTCAAACACAATCAGCCATCATCGTCTCTCATTTGCTTTCAGTGTGAGACCTTAAACTTGCAGTATTGTGTATTCTGATTAACCTTAAAGCACTTAAAAGTGACTAACCTACTGATCTCAGAACTTTTAAACAGGTAAGTATTTTTTTCTTATTATTTCTTATTCATTTATTTATTTATTTGCATTTGTTTTGAACCTTGACATTTTAAAAACTCTAAACCATCTGACCTAAATCACCAAACAATGTTTGTGTCAAAACTGGTTTGTTCAACACATCCAGGAGCATTATATCTATTAAATATCACTTTAACATTATAAAATTATATTTTCTGAAGGAAATACAATAAAAGAGCAGTGAAGAGTTTTATGTTGCAGGTAAGTGTGTAAATTGAACACTGCAAGAAACGTTTTCTGTCTGCGAGCCACAAGAATCAATTTGTTGTCAACAGTTCGATGTAATCAGTACACTTTTTAAAACTGTATGAACTAAATATGTTACCATATTTTTGTTTAGTGTCATTTAATGTATGTTATATGATGCATATACATTAATCTTAGAATCAAGAATAAATGAAAATCACAAAGAATTGTTTTGTTTTGTTTTTTATTAAAAAGGGAACACAGAAACATCAACTAATAAACATTTTTGGAAATCCAACATTGTAGTTAAACATAATATGGAGCAATTCAAGATATTATGCATGCTAAATCTAAGAAATATGGAAACATATCAAATCCAGTCACTATGAACCTCTTACATCATGAATATCTAGTTCTGCTATTGACCCAAATCCTTCACCCAATATGTAAATGTCCACATCAGTATATTGAAATATGCTTTATCAAGCATGTTGCAGTTAAGAGACTGACAAAGGAGCTGCACAACTCTGAAATATATTATTTGGAAATCAATAACTCATATTAATCACACTTGTACATAATGTATCAGTGTTTGTGTCGAGTCTTCAGGTTGTTTGAGACCCATAAGTAGCTGCTGTAAGTCTGTATCTTCAGGACGTTGTGGGTGTTTCTTACTTGAACTTCCATCAGCAAAAACCTTTAATAGCCCTAATAATGCTAAGAAGAAAAAAATCTTAACACATTAAGAACAACTTAACCAATGTACCAGAAAATTAAATGATGTTCCTATTTTACAGACGCTACGGTCATGCTACTGTACATTGAATTGTAATAAGTCAGAATCCAACTCACCAAACATCCCAAAGACCAGAACAACACTGATCAGACCAAACACCAGAGTAACAGTCTGAATGGGGACGAAATCTATTACACAGAATGACAATTAGTAAACATTAAATTAAATCATAAATTGGTAAATAAAATCTAAATAATATGATGACAATGATCAATTAATCTAATGAAATACTATATAAAAAATACATATGTGGGTTATATACTGTATATATATATATATATATATATATATTTGAAAAGCAATAAAAGAAAATTCTTTAAAAAAAAAATGTTATCATCAAAAACCAGGCAGCTGAAAGAAGATCAGCTCAGTGTATAACACTAATATCATCTCTGATGTACCTGCACACGGCTGACAGAGTTGGCTGATGTCCAGATGTTTGGTCTGGTTGCTGATGTTGTTGTTCAGCACACAGCTGTGGGTGTTTTTATCCTGATGTTCCACCTCCAGAGGTAAAGAGAGACTGATGCTGAGATCAGACGCACTGATGTTGGAGATTACACTGTTTCCTTTGTACCAGGAGAGAGTCACATGATTCACATTCAGCACTGAACACAGCAGTGAACATTTAGACACTGATGAACTTCCAGAAGATGAAGAACATTGTGAAGTGTTTCTGATGATGACAGGAACGGGAAGAAGAGCTGGAAAATATCAGAGGATGAAGAGAAATCAGAGTCAACATGAACAGGGGACAGTACTAATAAATTACTTTTTTTCCTTGTATTTCATTCACTTCAATATACATTTGTGATAAAGATTTATGGTCAAAACACAGTTCTGGAGAGAAAAAAATTCTGCTGCTGTACTCACCATAGACAGTAACATTGAACGTTTTCTCTGCTTCTTTATTTGTGGTGATCTCTACTTGATAAAGTCCAGAGTCTGTGGTTCTGATGTTTGTGATGGTGAGAGATCCAGTCTGACTGTCCATCTTCACTCTGTCTCTGAATATCTCATCAGTAAGTTTATCTTTTAGGGTATCTAAAATTGTCCATGTTTGATGATATCAGGTTTATTCTGGCTCTGATATCTTGAACTAAAGCAGCAATAGTAGCCACGCCCACCGGAGCACACGTGACCAATCAGATCACAGCTTTAGTAACAACACAACACCGAACACAAACTGAAGAAAAGCCTGAGCCCTGAAACAAACTATAACTCGGCTACTGGTTTTGATTTTATTGTGAGGATACATTTTCCTCAAATAATACCACCCCGAAAAATAGAC